AATTCCTCTTTTAGATCTTGCATGAATTTCCTCACCTCCTGGAACTCTTCAACTCCTTTCTCCTTCCTCTTCAGTAGTTCACTTTCTCTCTTCTCTTCTCTTCCATCTCCGTTAGCTTCGCCATTATGAATATTCTGAATTCTTTATCTGACATTTCCATGATTTCCATTGAACTGTGTGTGGATGAGGAGGAGTTACACTTTTCCCTTGGAGGAGAGATATTTTCCTGTTTTCCCATATTTCTTGTGGTCCTGCAGCGATTTCTAGTCACCTGATCGATGGTGGGTTTCTTCCCAAACTTGGAGGTTCAATCTGAGCATCGAGGAGCGTGAAGAAAAGGAAACAGAAAGAGAGAAACAACAGCAACAACAGCAAAAAAAACCAAACCAAAACAAAACAAAAAACAAGAAACAGAAAAAGAGAAGAAAAAACAAAGAGAAAAACTTTTAAATAAAACTAAAAAAATTAATATTTAAAAAAATTTCAGTAAAACCCCCAAATTAGAAAACCCTGTGGCGCGCAAGCATGCCGCACAAAATGGCTAGTTCACAGGAGCCATGAAGGTGTGTCTTCAAGAAGGCCTTAAACAAGTAATTTTTAAATGCCCATCTCTATCTTAGTTCGTTTTTTTTTTTTTTTTTTTTTTTGATAAAATAGCTTTTCATGTCTCCTAGGAGATATACTGACTCTTCAATCCAGTCTGGCTTTTTCCAGTAGCTGTTTTCCTGGGCGTTAAGTTCTCCCTTCCTGGGTGGGTTGCCCTCCTTTCCTGGTGACTTCCGGCCCCTCTGACATTTGCCGAGTCGGGTTATGGGCTGTTGGACTCAGGTGGGAGGGGCTGTGCGGGATGCATCCTGGCCTGTGTGCTGCAGACCTTCTGCCGGGCAGCCACACACCAGAGCGTGCTGACCACAGCAGGCCACTGGGGCCTCCTGAGGGCCAGGGAGCACCCCTGCCCAGGGCTGCTGCTCAGTCCAGAGCAATTGGGTGTGTGGAGGGGTGCCGGCCGTCCCTGGACGCTCCTCTCAGTTGCCAGCCCACAAGAGTCCCCGTTTAGCAAATACTGTCAGGGACTTAGCCAGTGGTGTATGTGTGCACGCATCTGTGTGTGTAAGTCCCACACATGCATATATATACACGTGCATATCTCACACACATGAGACACACACATAGCTCACACATGTGAGACACACATGTATATCTCACATGTATGATACACCCCCCACATATCTCATATATGGTGCATACGCACAGACATATACATATGCATTCACATGGTTCCATGTATCTGATTCATACACATCTACATATACACATTTACATAGGTCCCAAACTTCATCTTTCAAAGTTTCTGTATTTATTTCTTCTGTAAATGGGAGAGAAAACCAGAGAAGGGAGTGCGCCCTTCCAGTGCCGTGTGGCCCCTTGGCTCCTGGCAGCCCAGAGGGCAGGCTCTGCATGCCAGCGTGTCGGGGAGCAGGCAGGTGTGAGCCTGGAAGCCCCCCGGGTGGGCCGGCCTAGGGGGCTTTGTGGGTTACTGTTACATCATCATCCAGCGATGAAAGGTGGCCGTTCAGACAGTGTAGGCTTGCAGGAAAATTGCGGACATGTGTGGGAAGCTCACACCCTCTCTCACATCCAGTTTCCTTCATTTTAATATTTCATAATAGTGCAGCGCATTTGTTATTAATGAAGCGATGTTCATACGTTATTACTGAATTCATACGTTATTCAGGGTTCCTTTTGTTTTTAATTACCAGAGGTCACGTGTACTAGGCAGAGATGGGGGCGGGGGAGCATTCCGTGGGGCATGGTCACACTGATCCCCTCGCCCCATTTTTCCATCTCGTTAGGATTTGGGGCACACACACACACGTGTTTTCATGCTGCTGGGGCTTGAATTTAAACCAGCCACATGGAATTCAAATCATTCCCTTATTCACTAGGCTGTGGGACTGGCCCCCAGGCCTCCTTTTTTTAAAAAGAATGATTTAATTTAATTTATTATTATTCTTCAATTTGACCAGAGAGAGACGGCGTGGGGGGAGACTGAGAAGGCAGGCCGCCAGATCTGGGACTCTGACTGTGGCGGCCACGTGGGAGTCCAGCACCTTAACCGCCACGCCACCTGCTGACTCCTGGTCTCCTTAATTTTTATGGAATGTCCTCTTCCTGTGCCAGGACCCATCCAAGATCCCACACATTACACACGAACATGAGTTTTCTTGTTTCTAGGACCAGGGCGGTGGGAGAGGCTGCCGCACACGCTCCTGGAAGGTCCTTGTCCTGACACGGCTCTTGTGTGACTTAGCCTTCAGGGACCAGGGCCTGACTTAATGAGGTCCAGGTTGGGGGCCGCATACCTCGATCTTCCCGCCCACTCCCAGGACTCGATCGAGTCGTGTGACACCTCCTCTCTTAGGCTTCAGTTTCCTCCTCTGGGAAATGAAGGTATTGGGCCGGCTTCCTCTGCACAGGAGGTTCCTGGGCTAGAGTTTGGGTGAGGGTTTTGGAGCCCTGTCCTGGGACCGAGGGAGCGGGCAGGCTTGTGGTGGCCCAGAAGACGAAGCTCGGTCCCAGGGACGCGCGTCAGGACAGCAGACCTCCCTGAGTCCAACCTGGGCCAATGCTCGGGTTCTGGAGGCTCTCCCAGCTCAGGTCAGGGCTGGTCCCGTCCTGGGTGCTTTATGTAAGGCCTTGCTCATCTCAGGTCTTGGTTTCCCCATCGGCAAAGTCATGGCTGTTGCAACTTCTGAAGGCTCTCTGGCCTGGAGTGGAGTAGGCAATAGGAACAATGAGTTTCCTGTCACTGGAGATGCGCAGACGCGGCTGGGTGGCCCTGTCGGGTGCTGTCAGAGATGGTGGCAACACTGGGTGAGAAATAGGGTGTCCACCCAGTTTCCCATGGCTGACTCAGAGGCTGGCGGCTCATGCCTTCCTTCCTAGTTCCTGCCGGGGTGCCATGGGCCCTGGGCCGGGGGATGCCTGTCCTGGGCACCGGCTCCTGGGCGGTGGACTTCAGGAGCAGAGGAGGAGCCCCACACAGCTCTGAGGCCTGTGCAACCTCGAGATGGCAGTGCCAGGTGCCCCACGGGAGGCCGGGTGCTGGTCCTCAGGTGCACCAGGTGGTCCACAGGAGTGGGAGAGGGACTGTCTGAGGAGCGGAGGATGGGGTGCCCTGTAACTAGCCCCCCAAACCCCACTCCTCATTGCCACGCAGTCTGGTTCTTCTTGGCTTCTGAGTGTTGGTAGCTGCTGGTTCCTCTGCACAAATGCCCTTCCCTTCCGGCTGTGAGCGCCCACTCCTCTAGGCCACACAGAAGTGCGTGCCCTGGACCCTAGCTGCCCCAGGGCCCACTCAGGTTGTGACACGCAGCACTCTGAACCATAACAGCCACTTCAGGATCTGTCCCCATCGGGACCTCAAGTTTCCTGAAGGCAGGGAAGGGTCTGAGTCACCTCTGTGAGGTCGTTGGCACATCATCCCCCTCTGCGTGGCTGCCGGAAAGACGCTGGGAGAGGGAGAGCTGCCTCGCCAGCACCCTCTGGATACGGGCACCGTCGCATGCACACACTCTGTCCGCCCCGACGCCCTCGCGCGCCGCGGGTGGGGCAGAGGAGGCAGGAGCCGGAGGAGTCCGTACGTCGCTGGGCCGCGGAGAGAACTGACGCTCAGCCGCCAGGCGTGGGACTGCCTCCGCTGGCGAGCTGGACGGAGAGAACGGCGAACCCACGGTCGGCGCAGGTGCCAGGCCTCCGGCATCCGGGCGGGGAGGCGGAGCGGGAAGCGCCGCCACTGCGGTCCCGCGGGGTGCACTAACAGCCCCATCTTCCATCCCGGTAGCCTTCGCGACCGCCCCAGACCTGGACCACAGCCTCCGCCTGACCCGAGGTGGCCCCGCCCTAGGTCTAGTGGCCCCCGGGGCGCACCTGGCCCCGCCCCGGCCGCTGGCTCCGCCCAGGAGACCCGAACTAGTCCCGCTGGGCGCGGGCGCCACGCAGGGTGGAGCTGAGCCGAGCAGTGCCCCGCGCGCTCCGTGCCGCGCTCCCGGCCCCGCCATGGGCAACAGTGCGGGCCGCAGCGACTTCGAGTGGGTCTACACTGACCAGCCGCACACGCAGCGGCGCAAGGAGATGCTCGGTGAGTGTGGGGCGTGGGGTGAGCCGGAGAGGGCGCCCCCAGGACCCCGAGTCCGGCGCGGACCAGCCCGAGCACAGAGGGTCGCTCCTACTCCGGCCTGGGTGGCAGCGGGCACCCCACATCCCCGCGCCAGGGCTCTGCGAGGGCCCCCATCCCGGGTCTGAAACTCCTCTCGCGGCTCTGCCTTGGCCCTTGGAGCCCAATGGAGCCGAGGACCCGAGCCGGGGTCCCGCGCTGGGGAGCGCGTCTCGGCTGCTCTGCCCCACCCCGCCAGTGGGACGCAGGCCGCTCCCGGGGCCAGGGGCGAACTCTGGGCATCCGGACCGCCCCGAGAGCGGCCCCAGGGGGCGCGGAGGCAGCTCCGCCCGCGTCCTCCCGGCGCCCGCTGCGAGCCAGGGCGCCGAACCCACCCCGCGTGCCGGAGCTCTGGAGCTCGCGCGGAATGAGCGCTGGAGGCGGCAGGCGCCCAGACGCGTTTCTCTTTGACAAAGTTTGTACCCGAGACGCCGTCTGCTCTACCGCGTCGCTTCAAGCCCGAGGCCGCCCTTTGTCGGGAGCCCTCTGCAAGGCGGTTCTCGGAGCACGGTCCTGGGAATTCCCTGCCCGCAGCCAATCCAGCCCATCCAGCCCACCCAGTCACTTCCTCGGCCTTGCAGGGCTGCAGGGCACAGCCGTCGAGAGCAGCTTGTACTAGGTGTCGCCAAATCGTCCCCACAGTGGCAGGCGGCCCCCACCCCCATGTTCCCGGTTTCCCACGCCTTTGCCCACACTGGCCGCCGGCGCACCTGCTTCTTCTGTGTACAGTCAACTGGGCAGGACCGGGCTGTTCCCTGTGGGTTCTGTTTGCATTTACTTGTTGACTGGTGTCCAATCGTACCCGGCCGGCTTCGTTATTTCCTTCTTCTCTGGGGTCCGTCTGCCAGTTGTGTTTGTCCTGCTCCTCGAATAGGTGGGTTTTCCCCCTATTCTGTCCTACATGTTGCAAATATTTCCTCCTCTCATAGCTTTTTTGCATCACAGAAGCTTTGCTTATTTATTTTAATACAGTTGAATTGATGGGCCTTTTTCTCCTTTTTATTTTTTTAACTTTAGTGTCCTCCTGCCCCATCGTGAGACTATGGAAATATCTGTCTTACAACTTAGTTTTTTACATTTCAGTTAAACAGTTATTTTTGCTAGAGGGTGCATGGGATGGCTAGAGAGAGACAGAAACCGAGGGAGAGGAGAAGGCTCCTGAGGAATGGTCACACAGTGGTCCCCGCCCCCCCATCTTTCCCCTTGTGGGGATTTGGCGTGCATGTACATGTGCCTGGCATGCTTCTCAAACTGCCAGGTCAGGGACGTGAACCGTGTGGCTGGCCGTGTGCGATCTGGCTGTCCCAACTAACGTCAGGCCTTGGAGTGGGTCCAACCCTAAGACTTTTTTTTTTTTTTTTTAGAGCCATTACACTAACTGCTGGTTCCCACTACTATTATTTAATTCGACCAGAGAAAGACATCGAGAGAGAGAAAAGGAAAGAGAGAAAGCAAGCTGCCAGGTCCAGGATGCAAACTGTGGTCGGCCATGTGGGCGTCCAGTGCCCTTAACCACCACACCACCTGCCAGCCCCGATTGGCTTTTAAACCTTCCCAACTCAGAATGCTTTGGCACAGGGCCAGGAAAGGGACGGAAATGCAAATGGGCCCTCCTGTCAGGGGACTCATAGGCACCCGGCCCAGGCGGGGAAGGCTGGGGCAAATGGCAGCCAGAGTCCTGGCCCGCGGGAGCTCTGTCCACAGACGAGGAGCCGGGCCCACCCTGAGCTGCCTGGAGGGTCCGGACCCGGGGGCAGGTCCTTTGCAGTCTGCAATGCAGGGAGTCGCCTGGTCCGCAGAGTGGGCGTGGGGCTGAAATGACGTGTCAGAGAGGAAGGTGCCCAGACATGGGGAAGGGGGCTCTCTAGAGAAAGAACCCTCCGGTTGGTGCCATGGTGGTTAAGTGCGGGATCCCACATGTCACTGTGTGGTTCGAGTCCCAGACCTAGTGACTGGAAAAACACGCTGGGCATGTGTGCAGCAGACCCAGAAGCCTGAGAAGAGGGGGTGCAGTGAGGCCGTCCCTCTTGAGGGGGGATTTCTCACTTTCCCTGTCTCAGGTGACCACACAAACCATGTAGCAGGAGCTAAAAAGAAGGAAAGAAAGAAAAAAGACAGAAACCATAGTCCCCGAGACCAACCAGGAGGCTTCCCGAAACCCAGGTCCTCGGTGCTGCCCAGCGGGGACCTCGGCTCAGCCTCTGCTCCATCGGGGCTGTGGCTTCCTGCTCACTGTCGGATTTTGAGCGAGCGAACTCGGAATGTGCCAGCTGAGTTCCCAGCATTCGTACAAGCTGCACTCCTTCCTCCCTGCTCTGCTCTTACTGGCTCGACCTCTGCCCAGCATGGCTGGGCTCCACCTCCTGCAGGAGCCCTTCTGGCGAGGCCCTCCTGCAGGTTCCCCACGGTGGCTCCCACCGTGCTGTCTGTGTCTGGGGCAGAGGGCGAGAATGGCAATAAGGCCAGCACCCACGAGCCACGGCCATCAGGAAACGGCTGAGGCTACGGGGGCTTGGGAGCTGACCTCCCGTGGAGGGAGCCGAGCACTTCGATGCAGGAATGTGTCAGGCGCTTGGCCTACGCCTGGGTGACTGTCATCTGTGATGACATTTACTGATGATCCCAGACAGGCCTGTCGTCCCCGAGGACAGGGAAGGCCCTTCCATCTCTGCTTTCCTGGCCCCTGTGGGAATAGGGGCCGGAGAATCCACCATGGAGATGCCAGTCTTAGTGAGGAGGCAGCAGCGGGAGGCTCAGGCCACTCCGCTCGGAGGCCACAGCTCAGGCTGGTGCTGCCTGACTCCCGCCTCACTGGCTGTGCAGCTGGAGCCGGGCCTGTGGATGCTCAATAAAGATCCTAATCTTCTCAGAACCCAGGAAGTGCTGGCTGAGCTGGCTCCAGTTTCTCTCCACATCGGGCCAAAGTTCATGTTCAGCTCCTGCTGGGACGGGGACCCGTTCCCCACGGTACAGCGTCCCAGGAAAATAAGGACCCATGGCAACCTCTAAGAACAGTGCCTCACAGCCAGGCACAGAGGGCCGGCCCTGGGAGGGCAAGAGTGCAGCCAGCCAGACTCCGCACATCAGAATCGAGTCAGGCGTGGCCGGTGCAATCAAAAGCAGGCTTTGGATAGTTTTAAAAAAACAAATAGCTTTGTAATTTTTTTTAAATTATGAAAGCAAGCACGCACACACGCACACACACACACACACACACACACAAATAATCAAAGAGAAACAAAAGGGCGAAGCCAGGAAGACTCCTGGCCGTCGCTGGATTATTTGCTTAGGGAAAGTCCTGGTAGGAGTCTCAGTTGCAGGCAGGAAAAGCCATGGCAGGACTGGCCGAAGCCTCACGGGGAGTTGGGGCTGCTGTCACCCAGCCACAGAGATGCCCAGCTCCAGGGGCTGCAGGTGGCC